CACGGTCACGTAACCGGGTGATTTGAGTTTTGTGGAGTAACCAAAACTGAAAAAAAAAAACAAGCGCTTAACTATATTATAATATTATGTTTTCTCTTTACGTACGGACCACAGTAGAATTTTTCGTGTAACTATTTAAAAATAAACAATCGCCTGTGGTTTACATATTCTTAAACATATATGCTCACCATATATAAATATAATAAATATGTGCATACACGTGTTATCTATTTACGAGGCTCCGAGTATTTTGTTTTTTTTTTTTTGCGTGTGTGGCTAGGAAGGAGTGTTAAAGTGTGGGAGAGGTGCGTGGGATGCGTTTAAACGGTATGGATTTCGCGCACAACGCGTACAGCTATTACGGAAGTGAATATGCTATTATTCAGATATTGTAACCAGTTAATTCAGTTTTCGTTAATTAAAAAAAAGAAACAGACCGAGAATTTAAGTTGATGATAATATTTTAAACAAGTAGGTAGGTAATAATACAACAGTTTGCAACGATTTTTGAATACAATTAATTTTAATTTTTTTTTTTCGATTTTATCATAATACCCCAAAACTAGGTCATGCTGACATGCTGGGAATATTATAATTGTTATCATAAATGTGAGTGCTCAACGATTTGATATAGATATCAAATAGGTAACAATAATTAATGTGAGTTATAAAGCTAGGTGGTACCTAAAAATGAATTATTAACAATCGAAATGTTAATAACTGCAATACGATGAAAACAAAGAAGAAGATAATGTAATTTCGATTTATATACTAACTGTAGGTAAAGTGTATAGTAAATGTTTTTTTAGTTTTCAAACTGAATATTCTATAATTTTAAATTGCTTATAATTAATGTCCCTTTTACCGTTTGGGTGTTCCAATAAAGTAGATACTTACTAGGTAATCAATAAAATTGCAATTATGTTCAAGTATGTCCTTGACTCATCCTCGTACATTACACCGCGATAATGATGGATTGATGAATCATTACAGTAAATAATTATTATAAAACCAAAATATAATCGCGTATTCATATATTATGTAGATTACATTCTGATTATTAATAATTGTGTAGATTACACAGATTTTGATATACAAACGTCGATATTGTATTAAACTAAGATTTTTCATTTTGTCATTTAATGTTTACGATAAGAATACCACGTGATATGTGAGGATAAAAATAAAATTATTGTGAATGCTGATCGTATAATATGTAAGACGGAATACAAAATATATTATGCTTATATTACATTATGTTGTTTATATATTTGTCGAGCACGGATTACGACCATAAAGATTTCATTTAGATTTATAGAACTCATATTATGCATATTATATAAACGATGTACCTACTTCAAAATATAATACACAGAGATATTTATGCGCGTACAATATTACATTGTAATATATTAAGTATGAGATTTGGAATGATATTAAGGATAAAAATTCAATTTTACATTCAATAGGTTTTGGTTACGATATTGCGTGGATTACTATTGTGATACATAATAATATGTATATATATATATTAGTATACAACGAAAAGTAACAATTTAATCTTAGACTATATTGTATTATATCAATAAATGAACAGTAAACTTATATAATGTAAATACATTATTATTTTTGTAGCAACGTATTAGGTCTATAGGTATTATTATAGTTATATTATATTTTAATAAAAATGTTGTAAGTTTCGTATTTTTGTATGTATTCTAAATAAATAAATATTAAATATCGTTTTCAGTAATATTTATCATTTATCATTTTTTTTTATTATTATTATTATTATTATTTTAATTGTAATAATAAGATTATATAGCTATAAAATATCAATTTCGATTACAATTAAAAACATAATTGACATGATAAAAATTAGTTTCATTAAATATTTAGGAATTAGGAATATAATATATTTCTAACATTGAAATACTATTAAAGATTAATTGACCCTAGTAACTCTAATGCAATAATATTATGTAGTTTATTTGATTGATCAAAGAGTACATTAGTTCATTAGTTTATATTAAAATGTGTTACTTATTCATAAATAACAATCTAAAAATTTGGCCGAACTTATGTACATTTTATTTTGCATTTTCTAGGGTTTTTATTATTCATATGGTATATTTTAGGATTTCACCCATTTTAATAAAATTAGGAACTGTAAAACTAAAAATTTAAATCATTTTTTGATTATAAAAACATCAAGCATTTTGTTTAATTTTCCGATTGATGAAAAAGAACCTTAAAAAGGTTGACTTACCAAAGAAATATTTATATTTTCATTATTATATCATAATATTATTAGATAGGTAGGTACCTACTTTATTATTTTCTAAGTCGTGCATTTATAATTTATAGTTTTATAATTTTTAAATTGTGAGTATAGAGAGAGGAATATATTGGTTTCAAAGTGTATAGTGTGTTTATTTATTTTTGTGTCTATTATTATATCTAAGATAGAACATATTTTCCTTTAATCTTCAACTTTAAGGATGGATTCCGTCAAGATATTTGATCAAATGTTGTTAAAAAAATGTAGGTTAATACAATAGGAAAATCCCAGTAATTTTCATAATAATGATTTGGGGTAAACTAACAAAAATAATACACAAAATTAGTTTTTTGAAGTTATTTTACTTTCTTTTCAATTTATAATAATAACTACCTATAGGTATATAATTTTACTATAAATAAATAAATAAATATATATTATAAATGTTATTGATGAGAGACACTTTTAAAATTACTTTAAAAACTACATAGAACCTTGGAGGTTTTTACATTTTTAAGCTTTTTGTCCGACCAAGAAACAAAACTAAAAGTATTTTAAAATTTAAAATTCTAATGAATAGCTTCAAATAGTTTGAAAATGTAATTGTGTACAGAAATTGATAATTTAAGTTCTGTCAAGTTTTTGTCTTTAATATATTTTGAATAACACCAAATATCATAAATCGTTAGAGAGTAATCGTAATTTTACGTTTGAATATTTAATTTCGAACCAATTTGAACCTCCAACATGTTATTCTAACATTATTTTTACTATCATTGCATATGATAATTCGACGATTATGCGTTTTTGAATTACGAAAAAAAAAAATAAAAACTTGTAAATAATCCCATTTTTCCTATTTTTTTTTTAGTTTTTCTCCATTATTATGAAAAGTGTTGGCATTCTTATCTCTGTCCCCCTTCTCTAAAGAATTGTTTATAGATTAAATTTACTGGTTTCTACCAAGAACTACCCTCAAAATCGAATATAAAATCTTTTTTACTGTTCCTAAATATTGTTATTGCAGACAAACAACTAATAAAACACACCTAATTGTAAAACAAAAATTACTCCACTCAGAATCTATAAAACAAGAATTATTAATTTAGTTTAGGTGATTTAAAAATACATGATTCATGTACTATAGTCTTAAAAAAAGTTGCTATTTGTAAGTAGCTAAATACTAAAATATTTTATTGTCTTAAAAACAAAATATAAATATACCCAAACATTTTTTTTTAATACTTATTATACAATATACCGGAATCGAAAAGCATTTGGCAGGTGTTTTTTTGCTTTCAAAAATAACTAAGTGTATTCATGGTTCAAACCGATAGTTGATGTAAACGCAGTTGACAATAAAGGTACTTGATACGGGGCCCCTACAGTATTATGTGGTCTATTAACTTTTAAAGTATTATTTATAGTCATCATACACGTTTATCAAAAAAAGGGGGTAGGTAGATTAGGTAGGTTAGCTTAGTAAGGATGTCTGTCTGTATCCTGTAGTAAGTATGAGGACGACGTCCTCTCACACCGTACTTAAATTTAATCATATTATTTATATTTAGGGGTAACAAAGTGGATATGATTTTTTTATCACAACACCACTTGCCCGTCGGACGATTTTTATTTCCCGTTTTTTATCACTAGTCCATAATATTATTAAAACGTCACAGGAAGCAAATGTATATCAATATGAAACAATTAATGAAGTATGTATATTATTATTATTATAATGTGTACCTACCACCGACGAAACGTCATCGATACTGCAGCCAAGTCTTCGAGAACTAAGACAGAAAAACCAATAATCCGAGGCCTTTACCCATATCTTACGATACATAATAATATAATATAATGTCATACATACGGTAAAAACAGGTGGTTTTGATATCATATAAATTAATAATATTTTAATATGTATCATCTATCTACATAATATAATATATTATTATAACACGCACAGGCACAATATACACGGAATACGAGGGAAGAGACACCTCTTATAATATTGTTATACCTCCGGCGAACGCAGTGGAGATTTTAGAATACGCGTATTATAATAATGTTATATTATAATATTTTAATATATTTGGGTTAAGCGGAATATACAATATATTATTATTATTATATTTACTCGTATACACACACACACACACACACACACATTCGTATATGATAATATTATATACATATATATTATGATAATGTGTGTACTGTGTGGAGTGGGTATGGCCTGAATATCACTACCGTACCGCCCGCGTGTATACCTACCGACCAGCAAAGTGTATGTGTGTGTGTGTGTAAACGGCCGAGAGGGACTGGTTATGGCCGAGAGTGTGTGTGCATCGGCAGTCGCTATAGTCGCTACCAACCGGCCGAGTGCGTCCCAAAACACGACACGACGCGGCCGTCCGTCGTTTCTTTATTCTCGCGATACGAGTTCGCGCGCGCGCGCTCGTATGATATTATTAACGTAGGCACTGCGCGCGACCGGCTTCAATATTATTAATAAATAATAATCGTACACTGACACCCGACAATATCGGGGGTTGGCCGTCCGTTTTTATTCTCCCGATTTCTGTCCGTTTGGTCAACGACACATAGGTAGGTACCGCGTCGCCGCACGTCGAAATACACACGAGAAACGCACACGAGAGCGCCCAGCAGACGTTGTCATGACTCATGGTGTTGCCATCAAACGTCCGGACGAAACATGGACACGGCCTCCGACATAAGTCAGGTAAGACAATAATAATATTATAAGCGATACCACCTAAAGAACGTCCGGACACGACGACGACGCCGCAGTCACATTCCGCAGACGATCACGACTGATAACAACGCGCGCACCTGTGCCACCTGTTGTATAGTCGACGACGATACTATACTATTTAAGTGATAACAACCGGCCGCCCAGTACTGGTACCTGCCCAGTGCGCACCTATATTATAACATTATGGGGATGCACTAAAAAGTAAAAACACACATTTCCTAGCCCTTGTATTTTTAGTCGTGTTCGCGTGCACCGCACTCGTCGTGTTTTGAAAATAATATTAATATGTTATCATCACGTTTCCGGAAGACCGAAGATTAAAATAATAACATATTGAAGTTCGTATAATCATTTTGAGCAATTAATCGTAACAGTTTATGAACGCGCGGCTATTTCGTCTCGTACCGACAAGACGACAAAATATTATGGTAATACAATATTATTAATATTTTACCGACGTGTGTGATAACGCGATCGAACGTTACGACGACGACGTCGGTCGATTCGAATAGTATATTATCGTTCCGGTCTATTCCGGTTTAGTCGTCGAGTTTGGGAAGCGACGACGGTTATTCCCTGGCATGTTGTTCGGTTTCATATCACGTATTATATATTATACATACATTCCAGGCCGCAGCCGCCGCCGCCGGAGGAAATGGCGGTACAGGTTTTACGCGATTCTCTTTTGCCCGGCCCGACCGTCCACCCGCACACATCTGTTGTAGTTATTGTACCTACCTACGCCGGCCGACCCGAAATTGTGTGTAGTTTCTCTCGGGTGTATAATATAATATTAAAGATTGTTCGATTTTCATAATTATGTTATAATGAATCAAACCGATAGTGAAAATATTGGAACACCGGAGATAGATAACAGCCCAATCGACGGTGGTTGATAACGGTGATAACGAGGGGATTTAAACTCCGTCACGATCGGCGGAGAGCAATGACTGCGGCAGGTGTTTAGAAGAAAGTGAGCACCGATCGAATTTATTAGGGTCATGTGCGCCCAATGCAATTTCTACTCTCCTTATTCCGAGTCGGAACTTTAATAATAATAATAATAATATATTTCATTGTGTAGGTATCTACTCTTAATCTCACGACAATCTCACGCTGCAGCGACGAGAATAATAGTTATTAGCGTTTTATATTAAACACGTCATACTGTTTTAATAGTAAAAAGCATTTTAATAGTTTTGCCCGCGTGCTCAGCTGCTAAAATGTCACTAACGAATTTGTTAAACGTTTCGTTTCAATGCAAAATTATTATATAATACCTTTAACCAGTCAAGTGACACGTCGAATATTTTGTATTGACATTTAATTATAAGAATCTATACGTCGTTTTAATCTAAAATGCGGAGCCTCGTACATTTTAAACGTATTTTACGAAAAATCGAGTTGGATTACCATACCCTATAAAATAATATTATGCTCGAGAATATTATGCTTCATATAAGACTACACATTGTACAGAAAAAATGCAATAAAAATCGATTGAAATCTTTATTAGATATTTTATTCACATCGAAGAAATGAATAAAATATACATTTGAACATATTTTGGTCTTTACATTAGTGCACTGGCTTCGTCTGAACTAATTTTTTTTAAATAATAATATGTACCTACTTTTGATTCAAATACGATTTATTTGTATAGGTATTTTTTTTACATATATTCAGTTTTACATAGGTATACATTTATAAACGGTGAATTTCAACCGGATGCAAGCCGAGTTAGGTTAGGATTTTTTTTATTGTTGACCGGCACCATTGTATTATATATTATTATAAATAGTAAGTTAATTGTAAAGTATTTTAAATCTCTGTAGTAGTAGTATTAATGAACAATACCTAACCTAACCTAACGTTGTTACGGTCGTATTATAATATTGTAAAGCTTATAGAATACATCTGATAGGATATTCAGCAGTGTCATAATATAAAGGTATTCCACGACGAGTTTAAACGTACCAATAAAACGAGGCTTGTTATACCTATATTACCTATACCGTAGTTATATCATATACCATTATAATATTATTAAGCTATGGTTAATCCTTTTTATTATATTATTATTATATTATACGAGTATTAATGCATTATTATACTGAAGAGTAGCAATATGCGCATGCTGTTGCAGTATAAATGTGTAAAATATAACTATTCGATTTCAAATAATAATAATAATGATTGTCCTTAGTATCTACATTTTGCTAGTGTTTACTTCTGTTTATATCGGTTTATAATTTATATTATTCGGGTATTATGCTATTATTAAGAGGATGTCAGCGCAATATTTGTTTTCTCTCTCAGACCCACACGCATCATAGATAAAACGCTTTCACCTAAAATCGTTTTTTATGATTTTTAAGTAATCTTAGAGTAAAATCAACCATCACAAAAATTATAGAGGATAATATTTTTAAAGGTAAGACATCGGTTTTACATTTTATTGTTATTTGACTTTGTATTAGACTTTCAAAGTGAAAAAAAAATTCTGTAAATTTAAATGAGGTTTGAATTGTTTTGAGGCAATATAATATAGACAAATCGACTCGTAATACCCTCAAAAATATTATTCTCTCGTTTTCGCAATGGACGATTTTACTCCAAGATTACTCGAAAACATAAAAATAAATGATTCTTTGTAAATGTGTTTTGTCTATGTTGCACGTGCGCCAGACAGAGAGAAAACAAACAGTGCGCTGACATCCTCTCAATGTATTATACCAGCGGTTCCCAATTAGTGTGAAGCCACGGACCCCTAGCTATAACTTAAATTGGTTCGAAGACCCATTTTTTGGAAATACTTACTTTTCAATTTCATTTAATTATGAAAATGAAAAATAAATTTGTACGATTTGTTTTCAATATGATTGAATTTTTAATTTTATAAACATTTTCGTAATATAATAGAAACAAATTTTCTCAAAAAAAAAAAAAATATATTTATAAAAAAAATTATTTAATTAAACACCTTCAAACTTTATGAGACAAGTGAAATCTTTCTTTTTTGTTCATAATATTTCGTCTTCGTCCCGCTGCATACTTGATATTTTAACTCTTAAATCAGCGTCAATATTAAGTCTATTACGATATTTGTTTTTCATGTAACAGAGGGTAGAAAAAGCTTGTTCACATCTATATATGTTGTGCAAAAGGGGATCAAATGTCTTAAAGCTTTCTCAGCCAGTATACTGCAGAGTTTACGTGCGTATCAAAATGCGCATGCGCCCCCATTGCAGTATTGTAACGTGTAAATAATTCGATTTTAGACAATAATAATAAATTGCCCTTAGTAGGTACATATTGCAATTATCACAAATTTATTCCGGTTAAATTCATTACCCACAATACTACGAGGTTCCTTATAATAATACAATTATATTATATACCTAGCTATGGCCTATGGCTGTTGATAATATCGGTGCTCTGGAATTGTAAGCCAATTATACTCGGTAAGCCTTTAAACTTCCATCTACCTGAGTTTAAGCCATACATAATAATATTATACATTATGGCCCCGGTTAAGTTTATGCCAGGCATGTAGCGTCTGTGCCTACCAATTAAACTATGTATAATATATACCTATATATTGTTATATACCAGAGTCGTACCAGACATCTTTAATGTAGGTAATTCTCCCAAAAACGGTTAACTATATTCGATTTAATTATTTAGTTCTGTACTAATATATTACATCGTTTAGACTTTAGGTGGTATGTATATAGTGTATACATTATAATATTACTAATGCCAATTAAGACTGTATCCGATTGTATAATTTTATTAAAAAACTGATTTTTGCATCATACGCGTATAGGTAATTAGAGTTGGGCATGTGGTTACGCATTTCGTTACGTGCGCCAATTACCTTATACTATTATTATTTATTTTTAATGTTTTAATTTTATAGATCTTAATCGTTTTCCCTCGTGGATTTAATAATTATTTTTCTTCGTACTATTATGTAAGATATTTAACATTTTGATTTTCGAAAACGCCATATATATGTTTTTCGAATCGAACGGATTTAATTTTAGACATGATCAATTATATGACGCAAATATATTATAAGTATTAATAGATTGTTCACTGCATTAAATTATTTGTTTTATTTAAATTTCGAATGTATTTGTTTTGCTGAACTTTACTAATTTAACTTCGCAAAAGATGACTAATTCCAACTCGACTGCAACTGTTTGTGAGAAAAATAAACACACAACAAAGATAATTAAAATTTAAGCGTGTAACTGTACATATTATAATAAATACCTAATATATTATAAATATAATTGATGAATAAGTCATTGCATTGATCATTTTTATGTATGCAAATTTGTAGTAAGTAAGTAGGTACTTAGGTATTGCTCATCGTTTTGAAATTATTGTTGTAGTATGATATCTAACAAATGATAAATGATAAATATACCTCCTGTCTGGTTAATTACTCAATCTAAAATGAATGGGTACTACACTTACAAGTGTGTATTATATTTGAACCAGGTTTCATTGTTCAGAGAGACCACGATGAATCGGAATTATTCATAAAATATTATACGATAAACAAACTGCAGCAATTATTGTCAGCAGTTGTGACTGTTATTACTCATTTAACGATTTATGTATACATAAGTGAAGTACCTATAAAACTAGATTTTAGATTTTATTTTTTTTTATAAGTTAACACTTTACATAATTTCTTATAACTAAAAGCCGCTAAAAGATTAGGTTATTATAATTTAAAGTTAAAATCTCATTAATAAAAAAGATTAGGTTAATAATAATTAAATAATAGAAACCTAAAATATGTTCAGTATTTTAAAATTCTGCACTTCTGTTAACAATTGAGGCAACGGAACAGCTTTTACCATAATAAATACATTATTTTAAGAGAAAGGTAATCATTTTTAAAATTTTTCTATTTCAAATAATAACAATTATTGTTATAAAATAATAGT